GACCCACTCTAAAGTTATACGTGGATTTTCAGCTGCGTCGGGGATCCATGCCTCTAGCCCCCAGGTTGTTCAAAGTTCAAGTGAACTGGTAGTTGAAGGTTTGCTAGATCTGTTTTTTTCATGCCTTTTTTCTTTTAAGCTCTAGATGCCAGTCCTTCCCTTCATCCTTCCTTGAAATGCTTGTTAAGTGCAGGCAGCGTGCCAGGCCCTGAGGACAGAGAGGCTGGGTACTGGGCAGTGGTACTCAGTGCGATCTACAGAGTGTTGTTGGTCTCTGTACTAGTCAGGGTTGTTCAGACAGACAGACAAACAGGGTGTGTGTGTAAAGAAATTTATGATAAATAATTGGCTTATGCAATTATAGAGATGGTCAAGTCCCAAATCTGCAGGGTCAGTTTGCAAGCTGGAAACCCAGGGGAACCGATGATGTAATTCTAGTTGAAGGTTGGCAGGCTCGAGACCCAGTAAGAGCCAGTGTTTCAGTTCAAGTCCAAAGGCAGGGAAAACAAAACAATGTCCCGGCTCAGAGGTTGTCAGGGCAGGAGGAATTCTCCCTTCCTAGTGGGGAAGGGTCAGCCTTTTCATTCTCTTCAGGCCTTTGACTGTTTGGATGAGACCCACCACATTAGGGAAGGCAGTGAGCTTTACCCACTCTACTGATTCAAATGTTAATCTCATCCCCAAACACCCAGAATAAGTTTGGCCCCGTATCTGGACACCCCATGACCCAGTCAAGTTGACATGTAGAATGAACCATCACAGCCCCCAAACTGTTACTGGTCTTCAACAAGGTAAGTATGGAAGTTGGGGGCAGGCATGTCGAGAGCAGTTGGACGTGTGTCAGGCATGCGATCAGTGGAGCTTGTCTTGATGACTAGGGTATGGACCAGTTTGTTGCATTCACGTGAAGAATTGCATGTAGGGTAAGCTATGTATTAGGCATGTGTATTGGGCCAGCATTTTATCCAAGGTGGATTGGAGGGAAAAGCTTCAGTACTGCCAGTTTGAGAAGTAACTGCTGTGGGTTCAGTGGTTTCCATAGACGATACAGTCCCACGTGATGGGCTTTATAATGACGGCCTAGACACGAAGAAAGAGGAGCGTTCCTGCGAGAGACCAGGGCCCAGAAGCCAGCACAGAGATGTGCAGACCACTTCGAAGACGGCAGGCCTTGCACTGTCCTAACCCTGCCCCCACTACATCCCCCCAGAGAGTTAGGAAAAAAGGGGTCAGGAGCCAGAGAGATGTGTAGTCCAGGAACAAAAGCAGTAGGCAGGCTGAATGAGCTGTGAACATGGCAGGGCAACGGGCCCCACTGTCTTGACTTCCAGCCATGCAGCACTGGATGGGTCGGCTGGGTTAGAGATGCAGGGTCCATCTGTACACGAGCCCACGGCAAGTTAGAGCCGAGAGGTGCCCATCTCCAGGACACTCCCTTTCGGGAAGAGAAAGAGGAAGGGGCCGGCTCAAGGTGATGCACCTTGCAAACACACAAACCAGCAGTTCCGATTCTGCTGTTTATTGAACCCTTCTTACATGCCAGGCACCGGGCACAGTACAGCATGTGGCTTTTTCCAACGTCCGCTCCCCCTCCTTGAGGCCTGGCTTTTATTATTTTATGTGTCTTCATTGGTGACTAATCTGTGGAGTTTTGAGGTAGAGAAAACACCTGCAAGTCTCTGAGAGCTAAGTTTGGTCGAAACCAGTTGGGATCTAAAGCAGGAAATGGACACAGGATACTGAGAGCATTTTCCCCCTCACTACCCTGGAATTAGGATTGCTTAGGGATTACATAATTATGCCTTTATAAGCACGTCATCAAAGAATTAGAAATAAGTAAACTGGGGGGCTTTTGGGAGAGGAGCTAGAGGAAGTGACCGGACCCCCGTGGGAAGGCTGCCTGCTCCTCCATGTAGCCTCTGCGTGAACTTTGACCTGCCTAAGGCTGAAGGAAAGAAGGTTCAGAGATGCCACATATCAAAGTAAGTGAAGGTTTGTTGGCCACTTTCTCCCACGTGCCACTCAGAGAACAGCCCGTGTTCAGAAAATGGACAGCGCTCAACACCCTAATTTACATCATCAACTCATCTTGCCCGTCATATCACCTGTCTGCACCCCTACCCCCCGACTGGGACAGGGGTCGCGGGAGCTAATCGACACCAAATACCGTCCAATGAGAGTTCAAGTGGTTGGTATTTCAGTATCTTACTTAAGCCTCCCCCATCACCCTTGCAAGGTTAGCGTTTCTACTTGCATTTCAGGGAAGGGAAAACCAAAGCTCATAGCATTTAATCCCTCCAAAGAACAAACTCAGAGTTCCCATTTGTTGTATATTTTCCAGAGCTTCTGGGATCCTGGTGGGCTTCCAGAGCTTCCTGGGTTCCTTCCCAAAAGTGCCAAGGTCCTTTCAGAAGAAAGAAGACCCCTCACGCTCCAGAGCAGCTGTACCTCCCACTCGGGCCATACATTCAGGAGTTTGGCCACCTGCGGTCACAGAGACCTTGTTTCCAGTCGCCACAAGGGGAGCACGGCTTAAGCTTGTAGAGGCTCAGTTTCCTCATCTGTGATGGGGACACCGATTGCCACCTGCCTGTGCTGTGATAACCCAAGACATTGTCAGTGTGAACTGCCCAGCCCCTGTGCAGAGCCATGGCAGGGGCAAAGCGTTAACTGCCCTGCCCACTGATGGAAGCTAGACTATCGTCCTCCCCACCCCTGCTTGAATGGTCAGTGTTGGCTGAGAAAACACAATTGCTGTTGCTCCCTTCTCTTTTTCATTCTCAGTGGAACTAATTTGGTTTTACCAAACAAGGAGACAGGTTTCAAAAGCCCCGGTCAGCTTGTAATCAGTCAGCTTGGTAACAATGCAACCCTAATCAACCTGTGATTTCACATCTCCATACACTCGGCCTTGGCCTTAGGTCTGTGGTCCCGAGCAGTGGAATTCAGCGAGTCATATTTGCTGTGTTGATAGCAAAGGACCTGGGAGCTCAGGCTTTAACCCTGAGGTGATTAAGAGGGAAAAAAGGAGTAGTGTTTGTGAAAACCCAGAAACATATCAAAGAGCCCTGGGCAGAGGCAGGCACAGTAAGGCAGCACAGGTGAAACTCGCAGGGTGTAATTCATCACATTCTTTGAAACTCAAGTTTTGTGAGTCACAGAGACTCCCTGGGACAGTTTTCAAGCTCAGTGGGGTCTGGGCAGGAAGGAGAAAAACTCCAAGTGTGGAAAAAGAGTGTTTTTTTAGCAGGAAGCTGAGAGAGGGTAATTTTCTAGAGATGTGATTTTTGCTTGGTCTTCTCTGAGGCGGCTGTGTTGTAGCTGGATCCTGGGATTTCTGCAGCATGAGAAGAGAGAAGGGAGAGTTTTGGGTATGTCTTGTGTCCCTGGGGCTCCTCAACAGTAAGCATGCATTGAGCACTTACTGTGTACAAGGAGTTATGCTAAATATCCTTGGGAGATGAGGTTTTTGCATTAATAATTTTTAAATCCGTGGTCCTATATATAGCCTTTTATGAATCTGCATTTAAGGGGAGTGTGTACAGGCTCGGGTATAAGAGAGACCTGGGTACGAATTTTGATACCACTGGGTTCTGACTGTGTGACTTTGAGAGACCTACTTGTCTTCTCTGTGTATGATTGTTAAATAGACTGTTTCTGCCCTCAGTTTCATGATTATGCTCCTACTTTCTTCTTCCTTTTTGCACTTAATTATTCTATTCTCTTGTCATGGAACATGCATCCATGCTTCCAGCATTTATCATATATTATGATATGTTTCCACAAAGATAAGTAAGAGCCAGTTTTTGTCCTCGTTGAACACCCAATCTTCATAGGAAACATTCAGTAAAACAGTTTACCAAATCCAGTGTGACAGGCACATATTTTTCTTAGTGCTGTGTACGAAATGCTGTTGGAATATGCTGATAGATATTTTATCTGCAAATTGAAGAAGGCTTCCCTTGGGAGGTGATGCTTCTGAAACTGGGTTTTGAAGGGTAAATAGGAGTTCACATAGGAAGAACTAAATTAACTTAATCATTATTAATACTTCTTTATTCCTTCTCTTCTTTTTTCCTCTCCTCCACTTCCTCCTACTCCCCCCCATTCTCCTCCTTTCTCTCCTCCTCCTTCATATTCATGTTTTATTGCTAACAAGAATATCTACCTGGAAATGTGCCAAGTAGGGAAAAGAAGACAGTGCATTTAATTAGGAAAAATTATATTGTGATTGTCTTCTCTAAACAGCATGTTAGTTTTTTTCTTAATTGAAGTAGGGTTGATTTACAGTGTTGCGTTAGTTTCTGGTGTCCAGCAAGTGATTCAGTTATACATATATATACATACTCTTTTTCATATTCTTTTCCATTATGGTTTATTACAGGATATTGAATATAGTTCCCCATGCTATACAGTAGGACCTTATTGTTTATTTTATATATAGTAGTTTGAATCTGCCAGTGGCGAACTCCTGCTAATCTCTACCCCCCCCATCCCCTTTGGTAACCATAAGTTTGTCTTCTATGTCCCTGAGTGTCTTTCTGCTTCATAAATAAGTTTATATGTGCCATATTTTAGATTCCACAAATAAGTGACATCATATGATATTTGTCTTTCTCTGTCTGACTTACTTCACTTAGTATGATAATCTCTAGGTCCATCCATGTTGCTGCAAATGGCATTATTCCATTCTTTTTATGGCTGAGTAATATTCCATTGTGTATATACCCCACATCTTTATGCATTCATCTGTTGATGGACACTTAGCTCTTGGCTGTTGTAAACAGTTAAACAGCATGTTTTTCATCACCGCATTAAGTCATTCTGTTCTCAACTTTGTTCGCAGTTCAGTCTGGATGCGTGTTTATTTACAACGCATTTTCCACCGGCTTTTACTTCTAAATGGGACGGCAAAAGGAGCCCTGGACGTCTGGAGTAGGGGTGGGGGCCCGTGGAGTTCTATTCGGCTTTAACCCTTCCCGTTCTCTCTGCACCCGCAGATGGGAAGCCGGTGTCTCTGTCTCCGCTGGAGTCCCAGCCTCACAGCCCCCGGTACACGGCGTCCAGCCAGCGGGAGCGCGAGAGCCTGGAGGTGCGCGTGCGCGAGGTGGAGGAGGAGAACCGCGCGCTCCGCCGGCAGCTCAGCCTGGCCCAGGGCCACGGCCCGGCCCACCGGCGCGGCAACCACTCGAAGACCTACTCCATGGAGGAGGGCACCGGCGATAGCGAGAACCTTCGGGCCGGCATCGTGGCAGGCAACAGCTCCGAGTGTGGGCAGCAGCCGGTCGTGGAGAAGTGCGAGGTAAAGAGCACCCGGAGCCTTCCAAGGTCCCAGTCCCCACGTGGCCCACACCCACCCCTTGCAAATGCCGCCAGGAAGTGTGGCCAGGGACCTGGAGAGAGCTGGCGTTCTTGGCTCAGGCCTGGGCCTGAATCTGGCTTGATCATTCACTCTGCTGAATGGCCAGGCAAATCGTTTTAAGCCTCTGAGCCTCAGTTTCCCCACCTGAAAAATGAGCATAAGGAGGCCTGCACCTGCAGAGATATTAAGAGCAGCACACAGAACCTGCTGCTTGTTTCTTTGCAGCTCATTTTGACACTCTCAGGATTTCTCTGCCTAGCTGTCATCCTGGGGGCCCCTGTTACTTAGCTTCCGGGGGCATGGTGCACCTGGCCTTGAGGCCCTGTCGGGCAGTTCCCCTGGACCTCATTCGCACTTTATATACAGCTTCTGTAATTCAGAACCAGAGACTTGCTTATCTAAAGCAGTTCTTTGAACTTTTATAGCTTTGTATCATTTTCTCCCTTTTAGAGTATTTCTTAGTAACTCTTTGGTCGTTTGGAAAACTCCCACTCCCTCTCCCTCTTGCCCCTCATCCCGCCCCCGGTTCATGCATCCATGCTTATGTGTGCGCTGCATGTGCAAGTGCACACACGTGTGCGCACACACACACGCACTCGTTTTCTGCTTCTTCCAGTCCCAGTGGAGAGGAATTAGAACCTCCCTGTTAAGAGCAAGCCCTTCTGGGACGGACAAACCTGAGTTCATTTCCCAGCTCTGGTGGTTTCTGTTGTGAGTGCTTGAGCAGGTTACCAAACCTCTCTGAGCTTCAGATGTGTCTCATCGATAAACTTTAGAAAACAATACCTACTTCCTGCAGTATTTGTGAGAAGGAAATGGGATGGCCATATAAAGCCACAATTAGTGTCTGGTATATAGCATATTTTCAATTATGGGTAATTTTTGTTATTTTTAGTTAGATGCAGATATTACCTGCCGCTGGTTTATTCCATTTCCTGGCTACATTCTCAGAATGTTAGACTTCAGACGCCCTGAAGAGAAAACAGTTTGCAAACCGTAAGATGCTGTTTGTGAATGTGGTTTTTAGTGATATTGGTGATGCTGTGTAGTATGCCATAAGGGGATATGGGGCCTATTGAGTGACGTAGACTCAGTTCTATGCAAGGTCAGTGGTCAGGGAGATTTTAGACTGGAATGGTCAGGGGGAGCCCCTGAGGATAATAGGATTTCTCATGGATTCCCAAGCCTGGTTGAAGTGTGGGCTGGTGGAGAGGCAGAGGAAGGTAGATGGAGGACATCCAACAAGGAGTGTATGTGTGAGTAGGAAAAATATGAAGCGAGGCGCTGTCAAGCAGGAAAGGATTCAGAACTCAGTGAGTTGGTCGGTCAGGCGAGCACAGAGAACCTGGGCAGGGAAGCGGGTGCTGCATAGTCATCATTCATCCAACAAATATTTACTGAGCCTCTATTGTGGGTCTCACAGTGTTCTCTGTGCCGGGAAATAACAACGGTTGAAAAAGAGACAAAACTCCCTTTCTTCTGGTTCTTATGTTTTGAGGTGGGAAGTGAGGAAGAGATTATAAACAAAGAGCAATTCGTACTGTTCCCAAATCCAGGTTTGGCTGCTCGCTGCCCCTAAGCCAGTAATTTGAGAGGCGAGTGTCAGGAGAAATGAAAGGTGCTTTAATCAGAAGAGCTGGCGATCTGGGGGGAAGGTGGACTCATGACCTGAGACCGACTCGGAAGGTTCTGCTCAGCCAGGGCAGTTTCTAAAGGGGAAAAAGGGGGAAGAATCTCAGTGAATCACTGAGGCAGGAGGCTGGATTCTGCATCGTTCTCCATTGCATGCAGACGGGCTGACTCTTCCTTCAGATGTTACGTTGCCTGCGTGATCTACCTGCAGGATTCTTAGGGGGGCTGTTAGGGGTAGAGAGCTAGTCATTTTTTAACTGCTTCATTCTTCATCCTTGCTTCTTTTTATATAAGAAAAGAATCAACAGGTTAGGCAAGGCGTGGTGTGCATGCAGGAGAGCATACGTCAGGAGTTAGGTTCAATTGCCTAGTGATCTCATTCCTATAATTAGGAATTATAGGCCCAGCCTCATTTAATCTTCCACAACCATTGCCAGTGCCCTGTGTAATGGAAGATCTCTGTTTTGCATCTTTGGGGACTTAGCAACTTTAACGAATTCCCTTGGTCTAGGCTGGTCTGGGATGGCCCCTAATTTGGGGATCTTCTTTCCCTGCCTGGGTGAAGGCTGGTTTGATTTCTTACAGATTCTGTGCTCTCAGGTTATGGTCATGGCATCAGTTTAGAGTGCTGGCTGGCCCAGAGGGAGGAACTTCTTTTCTTCAAGTGTGTTTACATTATTATGACTCAGGCTGACTTAAACCATCAACTACGATCAAGGAGGTGAAAAACAGAAAAGGAAAAGGAAAAAATGGGAGGACACAAGTGGAACAGAGGGAGAACACAGAGGATTCCTCTTCCTGCTGTAGTCTCTGTGGCCATTGTCTTCCCCTGCTCAGCTTTCTGAGATACACACATCCCATTGATATTTCTAAAGAGGGCTTCTGTCCCGAGCGCCCCACCAAATAGTGTGGGCAAAGACCACTGGCTCTCAAAGTGAGAGACAGGAGCCCAATTCTGGTTCCCTCTCCATACCTTGATGGCCATGTGGCACTGAGCAAGTTACATCACTTTTCTGTGTGTTGGCTTCTTCGTTTGTAAGTTATGGATTAAAATCAAGTTCCTGCCTCAGACTATTTCAGTGGTGACCGTGGATATTAGAACTTTAGGCAAACAATAGCATAGCTGGGTTAGCAGTTGATTTCACTGTGATTTATCACACAATCCCAAGTTAATGGTGGCTTTGCCTCTTATTTCTGTTTACACGTAAGAAGTCTGGAGCTACTGGTGTAGGGATGTTCCTGCCTGGATGCAGGCTTCCTTTATCTTTCACCCAGCTGGCATGACTGGCATTCTCAAGGTCATCTCATGGTCTTCAATGACTCTCAGAGCTTCAGCCCTGTCATTCACCTTCCAGCTAGCAGGAAGGAAGCAGCGTTAAGGTGGGCATATCAGCTTGCTTTAAGAACACGTCTCAGAAATTTCACAGTCAGTTCCTTTTGGAACACGTTGGCAGAACTTCATTTAGCTGCTACCTTTAGCTGCCACCTAGCTGCAAGGGAGCCTGGAAAAGATAGATGTTCTTTAAAGAAGCCATGTTCTTTGTTAACATTTTGGAGGTTTGCTCCTAGAGAGAAGAGATATCATGGTTACGGTGAATGTCCTCTGTCAAATGAGTAGTTACCAAACTCGGTTATACATTAGAATTAGATACCAAACATGCATTTTCATGGGACCCACCACAGAATCTACTGATTGAGAATCTCTGAGAATAGGGCCCAAAATATAAGTATTAAAACTATGTATCCCAGTGATTCTGGGATCGTGGAAACTGTTTGGAAACCACTGCTTTAAGGGACAACGAAAATAAATGATGGGGTTCACTTTATCCTTGTGCTCTTTGAGAGATAAAGACCCCGAGCTTGTTAATTTTTACTATAACTTATTTTTTAGTCTTTTGCACCTGAGAATTAGGTTTTGTCCATTTGTTTATTTTCTCTTTGTGCGTCTTGATAATGTTATGTCTTAGACCCTTAAAAAGTTATGTTTTGGTGGACTTCACCTGTGATGAACCCCAGGTCCTGTTCGAGGTTTCATAGATGAATTAGAAAGTCCTGACCCGCTTGCATCTTATTTCAGTGTGGTCTACTCTGGGGGCACACGTGCCCTGAGATGCTGTCTTTATACCCATCAGCAGTGTGCTTCCTCGGTTTCCATCGCTTGGCATATTTAAAGAATTTTGGGAAAATGCCATAGAGGCTGATGAGAAATGTCAGTCAGTGGAGTCAAAATAGAATCCTCCCTTCATGGGAGCACTTGTGGTTGCAAGTGCTGAAGTTGGTCCTGACACGCTGTCAGTGCACAGGGCCTCGTCACCAAGGACATTGTCATTGTATCTGGTTGTGCTGAAACTTCTCTGGGCTATGACAAGTATTTCTGAAAACCCTTCTGAGATGATGCCCGGGCTGTCAGCTGAGATATTTGGTGATAGAAATCAGGGGCCTTTGCCAGTCCTTGTGCCCTCTTGTTGTTTTCTAATGGTGTGGCCTTCAAGGAGCTGCCCATTTTATTCTTGCACATATCTGTTGCCAGGACAGTGCTGCTTCCGCGAGGGGCTGGTTTCTTTGTGCCTTTGGGACTTGGAACAGGGTGATCCTCTTTGATCTCTGCTTCTGCCTATGTGTGTACAGATGTGTGCTGCAGTTCTCTTGCATTTCTCGTTCTGGTCTATTCTGGGAGTCAGCTCATGGTACAGCACAGAAATCACTGAACTGGAGTCCGAATTTCTAACCGGGAATCTTTACTTTGCAGCTCACTAGCCATGTGACCTTGGGCAATTCAGTTACCCTCTTGGAGTCTATTTCATTATCATGAAATGAGAATAATAATGTGCTCCTCCCTATGCCATTGTGAGGATGAAATGAATGAGACAGCAGGTGGGAAACTGACTTTGTATGGGTTTCACATAGACTTATCATGGATATTCCAGTTCTCAGTTGCTGCCTAACAAATCACCTAGAACGTAATGGCTTGAAACAATGCCAGTCATTTTATTAGCTCTCCTGGTCTCTGTGGGTCAGGGGTTTGAGAAGGGCTTAGCTGAGTGGTTCTGGTCTGGGGGTGGAGGGGGGGACTCATGCAATTTCTTGGTGGCTGCAGCTGCAATGGTGAGGACTGAAGCAATGGGTGCTGGCCCAGCATCTCTCTTCCCTGTTGTGGACTCAGGGTCTCTCCATGTGGTCTCCCTCTATGGCTAGTTTGGGCTTCCTCACTACATGGAGGCTCCAGAGCAGTCACCTGCTTCCGTGGCAGCCGATGGCTTTAAGTACAAGTATCCCAGTGAGCAAGGCAGAACAGAGGCACTTTTTTT